CGACGACCAACGAAACCGTAACCTACGAACGTAAGTACGTACTACTTACTTTCGTTCGTACACGAGTATAGTCGACGTAGTGTAGAGTACTACACTACTACTCTCTCTCTCTCTCTCTCTCTCTCTCTCTCTCGTCTACATTCTTGTCTTTCAAATCTCTCATAACCAACTCCTTAACTATCAGCCAACAACCAACCCCTTAGATTAAATCATCAACTTTCCACAAAAGGTGAAATTTCTGACCAAATTCTCAAAACAAGACCCCATTTCCACCAAGCTATGAACACAAAGCCCACATTTTCAGCCAGAATACCCTTAGCCTCCACTTATAGGTGGAATGACAGCCAATTCATCTCCATTCTTCACTATGGTAGTCTCTGGTGCATATTCCTCATTGAGAGCCAAGGCCATGCAATCCTTTATCTCTCTCAAGCTTGGGAACTTAGCCAAGAGCTCGATTACGCACTCAAGGGCGGTGCACCCAGGCTTGACTGATAGAGCTGTGTGTGTCAGCCCGGTTAGGTCCCGGGCCCTGGCAAAAAATAGGACCTTGAGCTCAATTGAGGGGAGGCTTTCAAGATTGTCGTTTTCATCCTTGGTTTCTCTGACCTGTTCCTCTTCATCTTTGGTCATGGTTATATCCTGGGTGGTTTGGTTTCAGAAATATGGCTAGGTGCTGAAATGGAGAAAAAGGGGTGGTTATGTACAAAAGAATCGGGGGCTGCATACAATCACAAGAACAGTTCTCATGTGAATAGTTCAGAGATATATTGATCCCACGGCATATTCTGTGAGCTAAAGGCACTCGTATGAAAACCAAAATGAAGATGAAATAGAACGTGCGCTCTCTCTCTCTCTCTCTCTCTCTCTCTCTCTCTTACACACACACAGCAGGCCCCGTGAAGCATGGAAAGGAAATTGTCCACTGTAGAAAGGACATGAGCACAAGCAAACATACGCTCATGCTCTTTATTTCTCCATTGGCCGATGGTGGTTAGATTTCGAAGACCTATGTGGGTTTCAAATGTTTGAGATCAAATCTTCATTAAAATGAATCTTTAACTTCTTTGCCTTCTCCTCTATCACACTCGAGTTTTCTTCTTTTCGCAAATTTTTCTCGAAACTGTGAAATTCTATTCCCTTTCTTTTGAAGGATTTACCTTATCCTTCATCTTATATTGAAAGAGCAAGTGCCTTGATTCTAATCTCTAAACAACTCTCCTAGCTCAGTCTTCTTGTTGGCTAAATTAGTCAATTTCAAATGGCCAATTGCCATAATTGTATTCCAAGAATCATATCATATTACGCGATGCCCACTCTCTGTAGTTAGCACTCCTTGTAAGATGAAAAGCTTTAACAGGAACTATTGGTTTTAAACAGTGAGCACTGGCTTACTTATAATTCACACCAAACCTGAGATGTTACTTGAAGCTGAGCAACACCTTTCAAAGCCAACAAAGATGAATTGTACTAACAGATCATTATATGTAACAATATTATAAAACTGTATATATAACAAATCCTCACATGAAAGGGTATATACTAGAGTATATAGACAGCATCCATCTAAAATCTAAAACAGACATTCGAACAATTGAAATTAGAAAGCAACACATACATTTTGTTATCATAGACAAAAAAAAAAGTATTCATTTTTGTTTTTTGGTAAGTCAGCGAGGATGATGAACCCCTACCAATTTTTTTGAAATAGTCAAGTTTCTAATCCGTTAGTTAGAATGGAGGTCAAGATCTTTAATTGGGGCTAAGGTAGTACTACCACCACGATCCCAACCCCATTCCCCCTAAAAAAAAAAAACAGTATTCATCTCTAGGTAAACAATAAAGATCATCCTCACCCTTATTAGACCCAGTTAAGCAATGCAGATAAAAATAGTATTTATCTTTACTTAAGAGATTTTTTTTACAGCTTGAAATCACTTCTCCTATGAAGAACACTTAGAACCAAAATCAGAGAGTCTCAAGCAGAACACACACACACACATCAGTCAAGGTCTGATGCTAAGCATGAATACGAGATCATTTCTCGCTCTAAAGAACACAAACACAAAGGAGTCATGTTCCCTAGTAAACATGAGATTGTTTCCCACTTTAGACAAAACACACAAACACGGATGCACTCATCTGTTCATATTGTTCTATAAAGGGCACACACAAAATTGGTGAATTATGAAGTTCGTATACATTTTTTGATAATAGAAATTTAGCAACAGACAATGGCAAGTTGTTCTAAAATCTGGTGACTAACAAGATTTGAATGGTCCAATTGTTCCATAAAAGAGGAAATTGAGGCTTATGAGTTATGACCAGCAGATTGATACCCTTGTCTTAATTCTTAAAAATCTTGCTTCAAATAAAACAGAACGTCTAATATTTGAACACCCAAATATAAAGAAACCCCAATTCAAAGAAGGGAAGAAAGGAACAAAGGAAATCACCAATTATGAGTTTCCTTTAAAATAATTAGTAACTATGAGTATCTGTTAGAAAATAAATTGATTATGAATATCTCCACTTGGAACTACCTAATCTTGTAAACCCTGAACATTATGACCCATGACTGATCATTTCAACAAGAAGAAAAGGAAAGCTTACGGGCCCCTATTTCAAACACCCAATTCCTTAAAAAAAAAAACAAATTTGCAGCACCCCAGATCCTAAAATATGCTAATTAAACAGAAGAGTAACACCAAATATCCAAATCCAAAAATACACCAATCAAATGAACACCAATTGGGAAGACCCAGATCCTAACAACCCAATAATACCAATCCTATTCCTAAACAGTTGGAAAACCCTAATACTAATATTACTATCAAACACTGCGGTTAAAAACCCTCACAAACATGATTTCTCATAGTCCCAATCCAGGAAATCCTAACCCCAGAAGGCCTAATCAGAGGGAGAAAAAATGAAGATAAAAGGAAAAACCTTAAAAGCATAACATATTTAAAAGATACAAATAATAAATCTGGGGGTAGATTTGCGTACCTTATTAGATAAAATTGTTGAGTCGAGTTGTTGAGCCCGCGACTGCAAAGACTTCCCATATATGGATAGAAGTTAGTTCACTTTTTATGTTCTTTGTAAAATTAATGAAATGGACAAGTCCTTCGTCCAAATTACCATATGCTCAGGCCTATCCTTGAAAAACTTGAATATCCCTTATGGGGGGGAAAATATCATCTCAACCCAGTCGTTGATGGAACAGTGTGAGTGTTATAACAATTATATTTTTTGGTTTTAATTTAATTTTTTTTTAAATACTACGAGACCCTCCTACGTACTCGTGAGTAAGATCCCAAATGATCATCATTAAATTTTGACACAAATTTCTATAAACTTTATCAATAAACTCATTCACCCAAGTTGCACACCCATGTCATAACTTTTCTAAAGATATGTGCTAAAATTTAATGGTGATATTTGGGATCCTACTCATATGGGTGTGAGAGGGTCTCATTGTGTCATTACTCAATATAAATTACTTTAATTTTGAAGCATCTATTATTCTCATCAAAACCCATCTATTAAGAATATTAATAAAATAAACTGAACAAAATATCTCTAAAAGTTAACGCCTATAGCTTTTAGGGGTATTTTATTCAATTTATTTTTTATATATTTTTAAAAAATATTTTTATTAAGTTTGTTTTTTTTTATAATAGACGTTCAAAATTTCAAGTAAATTTAATTTGTAAAAAAATAAAATTTAAATATAAAATTCAATCGTAATCATTAGATCGATCCAAAATCAATTTAGGCCATTAAAGGTTTACTGTAGTTGTCTAACCTAGGACTCTCTCCCTTTATGGGAAAAAATATGAGCCATGTTTAATCATTTATTTTAGGGTAATTAGCATGATAAGGCTCGACTGCCCAATATCAGTACCACAAGTGGGACCGACGATCAATGCCTTAAGTAATTTTTTTCCTTTTTTTTTTTTTTTAAGTTCATTCTTCTTTGTTGGAAACCTTGGTAGGAGTATGATATTTTTGTCTTGGCAAATCATGGTTTTTTCCAAGAAGACTTGTAACGTGTTTGTTATCCTAGGTACGTGATTTTGCCCATTTGCTCCCATTTGTGGTACATAATTATGTGGAATGTAGTTTTGAAATAAAATAATGACTAATGTGAATTTTTTTGCTAGGGATTTCATGGAAAGTTCAAGTATATATATATATATATATAGTTTAAAGAAAAGACTTTGGTTGTAATTTGATCAAAAAGCTGGTCAAATCATCTGATTTTGATCGATTTGTCCAGCTTAATAAATTGTTTATAAGCTAATGACACATATATTAGTGTCAAAAATATCAATCCTATAAATGGTTTTTAGAAAGAATATGGCTCGTTTCATTTTAGATAATGGACGTTTCATTTTAGATAAAGGAGATGTGGTATTTTATGTGAGACTATATATTCTATTGTGAAATTTAAATAATAAAAGTTAAAAAAAAAATGTCTCAAACATTAAAAAATTAGACAAAGTATCGTGTTCTAAACGCCACAATACATGCAAGAACACACGCATCTGTGTCCCATAATGTTTTAGGGGAAATTTACGAAATAGATCCTATTTTGCTCTCAAATTTTAAAATGGTCTTCATATTTTTGTATTTTACGTTCAAGTCCCATTGTTGTGGAGTGTGTATTGTATATTATTTTTTTTCTATACACTGGATTAAGGATTAAGCTTAGATTAAGGATTAAGCTTAAATTTAGGAAGATGATATATCTCATCCTCCCCACATTGATAAATAATACCAAAAAATATTTAAAAACAAACAAAATGACTAAAACACCCTTAAAATTTTGAAAAATTATAAGTGTATTTTAGTAATTTTTATTAAACTTACGAGTAAATTATGGTAGGAGATATGATGCCCAAAACTCAAGCTTAATCAGATGTATAAAAGAGAATATAAAATTCAAATAGACATTTTCTATGATCTAAAATTTGGGTTCCCTTATAACACCAACAATCATTTATTTTCAATAAAATATTGAAATTTTATTTATTTTTAACTATTGTACAGGCAAATTTGAAATGGAATATATTTTCAATATAAGATCTGGGGTCCATTATAGAACCAGAAGTCAATTATTTTCAAAATAATATTGAATTTTATGGGTATTTTTAATGTACACCGCAAAATCAGATGAACACTATTCAAACTCGAGTACTATTTTTTCGACCCATCACGGAGGATTTATAATTATTTACTTCTTTAAGAAATTTACTACAAAATTTATAAGTGATAAACTATTTAACATTCTATCCATTTACAACTATTCTAACTCAACCTCGTGTATTTTTTTATAAGTATTTAAGAATTAAATAAACGACATAGGTAAGATATAAAATTGTTTATTTCTCATAGTTTATTTGATAAATATTTTCTTATACTTTTTAAGGGTTGTAATTCATTTTTTATACAAAAAACTATAATTATTTTTATAAAAAACTATAATTATTTTTAACTATTAGATGTGAAATATATCGTAAGACCGTTCATTTTTTATACAAAAAATTATAATTATTTTTAACCATTAAATGTGAACTTCAATAAATAAAAATACGTCCTAAAAATTATATTTTAAAATTTGTGCCCAACACCCAAGCATGGGATCTCCTTGTATCAAAAGATGTACAAAGTTCCTTTTTCTAGCTAGATTTTGAGTCTTATCACTCCTAATACTTAGGGTTTTATTTGGAGGAGTAAACAATCAATATGTTCCCGTACATACATACAGTTTTGATGCTCTATCCAAGTTTGTTACAAAGACGTGTTTTTTATTCCCACTCCCAAAAAAGGCACCTTCTGAAAGCCGCGTGTTGCATAGAAAGGAGGCCAGCATAAAAAGCGTTCCTGCAATACCACATTATGCATTTGCTGCCTAGGTAAAAAAAAAAAAAACTACTTTGAGGGTGTTTTAAATCTGGACTCTTAAGATCCACTTGAAAATCAAAAAACTAATTTAATAAATTAATAGTAGACATTTTATGTTCAATCGTTTTTAAAGAGTACAATAAAATTATTTATTGTCAGAGTAATGATCTCCCACACCGATAAGACTCTAAATGATCATGTTAAATTTGACACAGATCTATAGAAAAGTTATCGCATGAGTGTGGAACTCCTTTTGGGGCTTTATACATGGGTGTGGGAGGATCTCATAGGGTCATTACTCTTATTATTTATACAAAAAATGAAAAGTTTATATAAGGCCGAGGCTCTAAACAATCAAATTCGAGCTTACCTCAAAAATTTCACTATAAGATATTGTTTTGATGCTCAAATATCGTCAAATTCATTGTCTCGATATCAAGATGCATGGACATGATAAAAAAATGGATTTCAAGTTTGGAAATAGTGTATTTTGTAACGCACTTTATTTTTGAAACTTTAAAATTTATAAATAAAGATGAAAATATATTTTAAGGCTATCAAAAATATTTAGAATATTGAAACAATATTTCTCAACACTATTTGAAGGTCGGTTCTAATTTGATTGTTTAGAGCCTTGGCTCTATACAAACCTCTCCCATACAAGAAGTCACATTGATCCCCTAATAGATGACTACAATATTGATTATGTTTAAAGGAATTTTTATTTAAAGATTGTGATTTACCTTAAGCTCCTAAGGTTCATATCTCAAGGTCAAAAGTGCTTGGCATCTTGTATTGTAAGCAAATGGTCATATTATTTCAATTATTATTTATAAATCACACCTAGAGTACATGAGTCTTTCTAAGTTTTCCAATTATAAAATGGGATTGTATACTATAGATCATTTATTTTGGTAGCAATTGCGTCAGATATGAAATTATGGAGCGTGTTGAAAAGTTCGATTTTTTTTATTAGACTTTAAATTAATGGCTCAACTTAGTTGTGACCTCTTTGCATAAAAAATAAATGATCTTATTGTATATTACTCTTTAAAAGAATATTTTAAAATATACATAAGATATTTTATAGAAATTTAAATTTAGGATTATACACTATGAGACTATTTACCTTTAGTATAAAGAAGTTACAATCATTTTTAACAATTGGTTGCGAAATTCAATAAGTTGAAGTGTCCCACAACATTGAGCAATTTTAATCAATGACACGTCTCAAGCACCTTATCTCACATTCAATTATCAATAATGATTGTGACCTCATTGTATAAAAAATAAATGACTTCATTATACACATTTTATTTAGATTTTGAATCTATCAGTAGAAAATTTTGATGGGACTGAATTTGATCACCCCAGCCCAGATTCATATCCGACGGCACCAACTCAATTGTGACCTATTTGGACCAAACGCAAACAGCCTTCCTGTACATTTTATCCCGAAAAAATACGTGGGAATAAATGGATTATATGCTCTCACGGGACCACAAATCACTAGGCTTATTCATCGATACCCTATACGTACAAAATCCCCATAAATGCGCCTTGTTGTACTCAAAACCACAGAATCCCCACTGTTTAAAAGATTTCAAAGACTCCATTTATCCTTTTTTTTTTCTTTAAATACCCACTGTTTTTTATCGTATTCATGAACTGTCTCTGCAACTAATTTTGTTCCCTGTATCCGCACAGTATATAAAAATCGTATTTTTATAGTTTATACACATATTTTCTCTGCAACTTTTATTGGGTTTTGATCATTTGGCCATGGCTTCCCAAAAGAAGCAGTGCATCCTTGTTACAGGGGGTGCTGGTTTCATTGGAACCCACACTGTGCTTCAGTTGTTGAGGGAGTATTACAGGGTTTATATCATTGATAATTTGCATAATTCAGTTCCTGAAGCTGTTGAGAGGGTTAAGGTTTTGGCTGGTCCTGCACTCTCTGCAAATCTCCATTTCCATGTGGTATGCTTGTCATGATTACTTTTTTTTTTTTTTTGAGTGAGTTTTTTTTTTTTTAATATATAAAATGAAAACACATTTGTTTGGGTGAGTTTTGATTGGAGTTATGGCTATCTGTTATGTTATTTGATCAGTTCTGAGAATTTGGTCATGGGTAATGGAAGAATTGAATCATGGGTCCTGAACTTTATCCAAATCTCCATTTCCATGCGGTATTTCTATCATAATGCATTTTTTGTTTTTGACCAAATGGCAATATATTTGTTTGGGTGAGTTTTGGTTGGAGTTATAGCTATTTGTTATGTCACTTGATTTGTTTGGAAAAATCGAATCATGGGTTTTGAGCTCTCTGAAAATCTCCACTTCCATGTGGTATGTCTATCACGATACACTTGTTTTTTCCGTTAGATGATAGCACATAACACATTTGTTTGCATGAGTACTTAGCACATTTGTTTGCATGAGTCCTGGTTGGAGTTATGTCTCTCTGTCATGTTACTTGTGATTTGTTTAAAAAAGTTGAATCATGAGTTATGGATTGGTTACTTATTATTTGGAGGCTTTGATGGAATTTTTTGGATTGGTTCACTTCTTTTCAGGTTTATCTGTAGATTTTCAATTACTTGTGAGAAGGGTCTTTGTTGTTTATAAGGAGAAAAAGACATTTTTCTTTTGTTTATGTTTTTGTTGGGGTTTAGGGAGGGTCTAAGGGGTGTTCTCCGTTTCTTTATAGTTTTTTACGTATTATGTATGAGCTTCATTTGAATTCCTTTGATCTGGAGTCATATGATTACTTAAGACTGCTCAGATACCATTTTTGTGTTGTTTTAAGGTTTTTTTTTTTTGAAGGGGTTACAAATGCTTTTCTTGAAGTGGTTTTAAATGTGCTTCCTCATATGTAACCTGTAAACTGATGTCTATAGATTTTGGCATGCGTCAACACAACATCGACCGACACTCATTTCAAGGGCTTAAAAAAAAACTCATAGACGCTTCTTGTTAATTTTTTTTGCTTGAAATTTCACAATAAATGTAGTTTAATGTCACCTAAATCCTACCTTTCCCTGTATCTGAACTGTGCATAGATATGTCATGTCTGAAAAGCCAATTTTTGGACAATGTGTATACAATGTTTTTTACAGTAGTATCTGTATCAGACAACAACACATGTATTTTTATCTTTGTAGCATTTGCCTTTTTTGAGTTAACGTTTTGTACTTGCATTTTCATGGTTATAAGTGGTTTTTGATGCTGAAGATTTTAACTGTTGTTCTGTTACTTGTTTTGTCTATGCAAACTATTGTTTTGCTATTGATATGAAGGTTTTGGTTTTTCAGGATGATGTGGAATCATGTTTCCTCTGTTATGGAGTTTATGATTTTATTTATTTTTGTTGCTGAGAGTTGGTCATATATAATGGGGCTAGCTTAGTACTTCCTACAGTTAGGAGCTTAATCACATGTCTTCCCTCTCAGACTTTTTATCACTGAAAACTGAAAGATTAAGGAAAATATCGCAGTATCTCTCACTCATTAGACATTTCTTTAACACTTAAATGAAAAATACAAAGTCACAATGAATGTCCCATAGAAGTCTTCCAAATATCAATTGCTTCCATTGCTACGACAGGCCTTTTTGTAATCGTCATTTATTTCTTGTAATGGAGACCCAAGTAAAAATTACCCAATATAAATCACCCAAAAGAATTAATTTGGCGATAATATTTCTGCAACCAATTCAAATAAAAACATGTGCCAGGTTTTGTCAATGCTTGTCCTTAATGTTTGTTTAGGAATGGTTTAGGTTTAGGATATCCGGTTGGAAGTTTCACATTTTCACTGTGATCAGATAGAAATCATCTTTAGAGGAATGGGGGTTGTGGGGTTCAATCAGAGTTCAAAGATCAGTTGTTTTGAATTCATGACCATTGTGTTGGTTATGGTCTATTTCGGGTCTGGCCTTTTCTGAAGCATAATATGGACACATAGGGTTGCTTTTCAGAAATTGGCAGTTCAGTTCAAATACCTGGAGCCTGCTAGAAAAAAATAAAAGACAAAAGAATATTATGGGGAAAATGGGGAGACACTTGGGTTAAAGAGATCATATCTCCATGAATGGTGGTAAATAGAGCCAAGTCCACAATGATCATTTTCCGTGCTTAGTTTTTCTGAGTTTTTATGCAAATATCTGTATTAAAGGCTTAGGTCCTCTTAACCCATATTTTCATTTTTTCAATTAAATTTTATTGTGTTTCATATGCAGAGGAAACCTAACTCCCCGAGTTTTACAGAAGTCGTGGAATTCTGTGACTGTGCCACAGAACTGTTAAGATGTAGTTTAAATTATTACTCAAAGTACTGTAATGGAAATTATTTATGAATATTCCGTGACTTTGCCCTAATTGTGAATAATAAGTTATTTAATCACATGTTTTCATTTATTGATGTGACAAAATAATCATGTCATGCAGGGGGATCTTCGAAATAAGGATGATTTGGAAAAGGTTTTCACTCAAGCGAGGTTAGTGGGTAAATGGCAATGCTTAATGCAAATTTTTTTTTTTTTTGACAAGAGTGGTGAATAAAAGTGAAGTGGTTCAGGGGGGTTCGAACTTCGAACCCCAGTCCTGCCATAATGCAAATGTTATTATTGCTTAAAAATGGTCAATAATGAAACATTTGTGATAAATGCCTGCTTTTCTATTTCTTCAAGTTTAGATGACAATTCAGTGTTATTTTCTGACTTTATGTGATTGTCTGACTTCAACTTCAACTGAACGTTTGAAACATTTGCGATGAATGCCTGCTTTTCAATTTCTTCAAGTTTAGATGAAAATTCAGTGTTATTTTCCGATTTTTTGTGATTGTCTGACTTCAGCTTCAACTGAACGTTTGATTTGTTGACAGTTTCTTAATTCCACATTCATGAATAGTTGTATCCAAATTATTTTTTCGTTGGATTATCCAGTTGCCTTTTGTTTTTTTTTTTTTTTTCTTTCTTGGCCATTTTCATTGATTCATATGCAACCTCTGTGACCCACAGATGAGTCACAGATTGGCTTGGATGGTGAATGTTTGGAAAATAAAGTCTATTCAAACTTTGGAAATTTCCAAAATGCACTTTGTGCAAATATTATTTTGTCACAACAGTTCAGAGTTACTGCTTGCTTGGCAAGAAGCAGCAATAGCCAAATGAACTAGTTGAGGAAACAATTCATTTATATTGGACGACGATCTTCCAATTATATCCTGAACAGTTTTAAAGTGATTCTGAACAGAAAAAGGTCTACTATCAGTAGTTATTCAGTTATTTGAGTTTCAGGGGCACCAGTTGTTTCTGCTTGTCATTAGATAAGTTAGTCACATTAGCATATTCGAGTTACTGCAACTTTCCTTCTCAAACTCAAATGGTCTGACCATTTCCTAAAATTTGTATTCATAGAGTTTAACTTAATATATTGATAAGTTGTATTATTTGCATTATGGTTTGCCTTATAAATGTAATATCCATCCTTATATTGTCCTCTTCCAAGATTTCGTATCTTTATTGTGAATTACTTTTTTTTATGTAATAATTGATTTAAAATTGAGGCAGATTTGATGCCGTTATCCATTTTGCTGGACTAAAGGCTGTTGGAGAGAGTGTGGAGAAGCCCTTCTTTTATTACGATAACAATATAGTTGGAACTCTCAACTTGTTTGAATTGATGACGAAGTATGACTGCAAAAAGGTCTGCTCTTAGTGACTTTCTGTTTTTGTAGTTTGTTTAAAATGTTGCAACATGTCATTATCTTTTTGGATATTTAGAGAATTCAAGTACTATTTTGATGTTTTTGTAGTTTGTTTAAAATTTTGCAACATGTCGTTATCTTTTTGGATATTTTATAGAATTCAAGCACTGTTTTGACAAACTATGAACATCGCCTTTGGCATTTAAGGATTTTTAGAGATGGAACTGATGTATGAATAATTGACCAAATAAACTCTGAATTTTTTGAGAAGTGATTGATGATATATGAATAAATTGTAACAATAAACACCCAAATTGTCCATTCCCTTCCAGCATCTGGACCTCGTTACTATTGATGATATCAACCACTTGTGGCCAACCCAACCTAATTCATGTATAACATATATGAATTGGGGACTGAAGATTTACATTGAATAACTTTGTAATTGGTTTAATATTTTTTATATGTGGATTGGAAGGCGACTTGAACAAGGGTGGATGGCTTGTAATTTAATTCCAAATTCTGAAGTTTCACATGATCATCATCCTATTAGTTTGAAAACATCAGTGGCTGTAAGGTTGTCAATTAAAATAATGCCTTACAAGAAGTTTTATTGAACTTGTAATGTGCCTGTATCAATTTTAGCTCTCCCTATGCACTTAATTTTTCCTTTTTTCCCCCTGTATGTAATTATTGGTCATATTTTTGCTTTTTTTATATGGTAGATGGTCTTCTCTTCTTCGGCTACAGTTTATGGCCAGCCCAAAAAGATTCCATGTGTCGAGGACTTCCAGCTACAAGCGATGAATCCTTATGGACGTACAAAGGTGAATCACCACACACACACATGCATACACACACATGCATACATATATAAAAAAAGTTTAGGAATACATTTTTCCATTGGAGAACATGAATCTAATTGAGGCTTCTGTGGTGATTAATTTATAAATTAATTTTCCCAATACAATAAGAGAACTAGCCAAACAACAGTATTGCAAATGGGCTAGAATGACAAGTTGCTGGTTCAATCCGGACCAGAGACCAAGAAATTTGGTTCAGTGTTCAAAAAGTCGACTCAGGCTCTAAAAGTCAACTCAGGCCGACTACTTGGTCTATGCCCCAGCTGAGTATTCGCGAGTAACTCGGCCTGAGTAGGGCCGAATACTGTAGCAGCTGAAAAACTAATATAAAAATACAAAAAATCCCAAAAAAATAGGAAAATGTATATTCAAAGTAAGATTTAACAAAATAAAACTAATTGTCGTGAAAAAAAGTAGCGAAAAAATAGATTTTTAAAAAAAGGAGTTTGTGACCGGTGGGTACTTTCGAAATTTTCAAAAAAAGATGGAAAAATGTAAAAACAAGTATTCATGTCAAAAATACTTTCCAATCTTTGCCAAAATGATAGAAAACATAAATAAACACAAATACATATCTTATTTTTGGGGGATTTTTTATATTTTTTTAAAAAATTTTAAGATCCCCAAGTTGGACCTCCAACTCGGGCTCGGCAAGGGCCCAAGCCGAGTAACTTGGGCCAAGTGGAAATTCCTCGGCCGACTTTTTGAACACTTTTTTGGTTCTGATATAGTCCTAACGAGGCAACTCAAGCCAGTTTAGAAAAGGGAACATTTGTTGTTGATTGGCCATTTACTATATTTTACTTGATGATTGTTGTGAATTTTTCATCCAGCTATTTCTCGAGGAGATTGCTCGTGACATTCAGAAAGGAGACCCTAAATGGAGAATCGTGTTGCTAAGGTATTTTAACCCTGTTGGTGCCCATGAAAGTGGCCAAATTGGCGAAGATCCAAAGGGCATTCCAAATAATCTTATGCCATACATTCAACAAGTAGCTGTTGGCCGATTACCAGAGCTAAACGTATTTGGAAATGATTACCCAACCAAGGATGGGACTGCGGTATGTAATAATCTTTTCCCTTACTTACTCGTGTTTTGTATCTTTAAATTGTTCTCTCTAGGTCTGTTTTTACTGTAGGTTGAGAATTACTCATGTTTTATATTTAGAAGTACCTTTCTCTCCCCAGGATCCACACATTTGCCTTAACCAGCTTAAAAATGCTATATAATCCTTATGAGTAATATTCTGTCTTACTGGACTTAGATCTCAGTTGAGAAGTGCAATCTAGCTAAATATTGAGCATGAGTGTCATATATTCATCGAGTAATAAATGTGAATTGTGATTTTATCTTTAGACTGAGTATGCATTGTAATTTTCTTACTGATGAATGCTTTTGTAACAGATCCGCGATTATATCCATGTCATGGACTTGGCTGATGGCCATGTTGCTGCTCTCCAGAAGCTTTTCAATACTGAGAATATAGGTCTCTCTCTCTCTCTCTCTCTCTCTCTCTCAATATTTGAGGCCATCAAATGCAGTTCGAAGTTAACCAAACCAGTGTTTGGCCTCTGTTTGTTTGTTTGTTTCTACTGTGGTGATTAATGCTTCAGTAAATGATGATACCAATTTAGCTTTTTACAAAATAGGTTGCATTGCTTACAATTTGGGGACTGGGCATGGTGCATCTGTTCTTGATATGGTTGCAGGGTTTGAGAAAGCATCTGGAAAGGTAAGGCACGAGCCCCACATTGAATTGGGATTTTGTTGTACCAGTAAATGCATTCATGAACAACTTGTATGTCACTGAATCTTTTCAGAAAATTCCCATTAAGTTCTGCCCGAGGAGGCAGGGAGATGCCACGGCTGTTTATGCATCCACAGAAAAGGCTCAGAAGGAACTTGGTTGGAAGTAAGTACTTTATCCATGAATCCTCATTGTCAATTTTGAACTTGGTTAGCTACATCCTAGGCTTAATTCCTACCGAGGGTTGGGGTCCTCTCCCTACTGACTAAAAAAAAAAAAAAGGAATCCTCAATGTCAACTTGAAATTTGGAATTTATTCTGAATGGTTTCTATCAGTTAAAATCAATATTTCTTTTTCTTTGCTTAGTTTCCATTGTTGGTATCAGTATAAAACAATGCTTAAAAACTCTGTTTGGGCTCAGGACTCGGCTTCTGCCCAACTCGAGTAACTCAGGCGAGTCTAGTCATTAGTATACGAGCCTGCAAAAGACTCAAAATTGGAAAAATAAAAATAAAAATATGCTAAAAATAAAAACAAGTAAAAACACAAAAGAAGTTATCAAAGGCACGCGAAGTCTATAAATGGAAAAAGATGCATAAAGATGGAGTATTGAGCAATTTGATTTATAGCTTGAGACAATTTAAAAAAAATAAAAAAACAGAAAAATTTAGGAAAATATAAATTATGATAAGAAAATTCACAAATTATTAGTTAAAACATATGAATCATACAGAAATACATCTATACAACATTGATTATGATTTAGTCTATAGAAATTATAGAATTTCTACAACCCCAAGTTTGTGCATACCAACTTGCCTCGGCTCCCTGCGGAGGCCGAGTTATTCAGCTGAATCCGAATCTTGGTATTCTGGTATTGAACTTTTTAACCCTTAGAATTCATTCGTTTGGCCTTCTTGGTCACCAAGAAGACATGGACTTTAGTATCTATCGACTTCCTTGTAGCAGTTCAGGCTTGCAGCTAGTGGAAGGATATCTCTCTCACACACACACTATCTTTTCGTGCTGCAGGTAGTTCAACGACAGTATTTAAACTTAGGATGTAGTGTTACAATTGTGAATACCTTAACCAATCGAGCCCCAGCTTGAAGCCTCTTGGGCACATTACTTACCTTCTTATGATTGGTTTGATAGGGCAAGATATGGGATTGACGAGATGTGTCGTGACCAATGGAACTGGGCCAGTAAGAATCCATGGGGATACCACTCCCAGCACCCTTAAAGACATGTTTCCTCCACAACCTTGACTATTCACTAATCACTAATCATGCTATTTTAGACAGCAGATTGTGGCTTTAATGGATAGCCCTGCTATCCCTCATCAGAATAAATCTGCAGCAAAAAGAACTTCAAATTCAGCCTTTAATTACTTTGTTTTTTCTGATCTGGGCGATCCTCCTAATGCTTTTTATATTCATGAATAATTTATGGTTCTTGTTTCGAGTTTAAAAATAATTTAATTTTAGAACTTTTTTGGGGTTTATTGTTTAGAATCTTAAACACCATTCAATGGGAAAGTTGTGGAAGTTGATGGACGTGGAGAACAAAAACCATGGTTTTAAAAATCATCGATATAAATTTGAGTTGGTTGATTTGGATCAAGATTGGTTTGTGGGGGATTCCGGTTTGAGGAGTGATTCCCTCCATTCTTAGGTAGTGCTTTTAATTTCTTTGTTAAATATCGATCTAATCGTCTCGGGAATCGGCCAAGTTGGAATGGTCTTTAATTTCTTTGTTAAATATCGACCTAATCATCTCGGGAATCGGCCAAGTTAGAATGGGTTTTAATTTATTTGTTAAATATCGACCGAATTGTCTTGGGAATCAGCCAAGTTGGAATGGTGGAACCGGAATCCCAATTTGGCAATTCGGGGCCGAAATTCAAATGCACTGCATGGGACATTTGTGGAAATATGTCAAATAATGGATCATGCACGTACTTCGCATGGTAATATCACATTTTGTGGAAATGTGTCAAATAATGGATCATGCACGTTACTGCGCATGGTAATATCACATTTTATGGAAATATGTCAAATAATGGATCATGCACGTACTTCGCATGGTAATATCACATTTTGTGGAAATATGTCAAATAATGTATCATGCACGTACTTCGCATGGTAATATCACATTTTGTGGAAATATGTCAAATAATGTATCATGCACGTACTTCGCATGATAATATCACATTTTGTGGAAATATGTCAAATAATGTATCATGCACGTACTTCGCATGGTGATATCATATTTTTATAAGCAGGTCATGACTGCTTGCAGATGTCAAATTAGATGATTTGGGATGTGCTATGAAGTTTATAATTTTTTTTTTTTTTTTGACCATGGGTCTAACTAATAATATGCTTCCGATCATCTGATTTTAAATATGAAGGACAAGAGTGATTACGACTTCCTTATTCTAAGGCTTCCAACCATCCGATTTTAAATATGAAGGACAAAAGTGATTACGACTTCCTTATTCTAATGCTTCCAACCATCTGATTTTAAATATGAAGGACAAGAGTTTCCAACCATCAGATTTTAAATATGAAGGACAAGAGTGATTACGACTTCCTTATTCTAATGCTTCCAACCATCCGATTTTAAATATGAAGGACAAGAGTGATTACGACTTCCTTATTCTAATGCTTCCAACCATCCGATTTTAAATATGAAGGACAAGAGTGATTACGACTTCCTTATTCTAATGCTTCCAACCATCCGATTTTAAATATGAAGGACATGAGTGATTACGACTTCCTTATTCTAATGCTTCCAACCATCCGATTTTAAATATGAAGGACAAGAGTGATTGCGACTTCTTTATTCTAATGCTTCCAACCATCAGATTTTAAATATGAAGGACAATAGTGATTGCGACTTCTTTATTCTAAAAGTAAACCATCTATTTCTATACTTTTCTATTTCTAATCCGATTTGAAATAGACTTCCTTATTCTAAAACTAAACGATCTCTTTCTATATTTTTCCATTTCTATTTGCGTATGGGCTATGTATGATACTATGATATATTTAGAAGAATTTGACAAAATGGAAACCATTGTGATTTTTATTTTTTTTTATTTTTTTTTATTTTTAAGAGTAATTCAGTGGGGTTGACAAACCCCTATCCGTTTTTTAAATTTATTAGTGGTTTTTTAATGCATTAAGCGATAATAAAACCCTACACCTTAACTGTGTGGCGACCCCAACCCCATTGAGAGATTTCTTTCTTGCACTCCTCTATCCTCTTCTTCTCCTCTCTTTCCTTTCTCTAAAATTTGGTGGTCCCATGGATTTAAATTGACATTTGGTCTCATGGTCAAAGCTAGTTACCTTTAATAGCATCTGTTGGACTCAAAACTCTCAAATAACGATGATTTCATTGTTTTTCCATGTCAAATACAAAATCTCATGCGATACTGTAAGGTTCAAAGCTTCTGAATCACATTAATAGTGAAGTACCAAACTTGCATGTCTCCCATTAGAAAGTAAATATAAATAATATTTTAAAAAATAAAACGTCAAATAATACACTAACTTTTACTTTACTAAGTAATAACATACAAGTTGACTTCCTCTTTCAAACCAAAATATGAAAATGCTCAGAGGACTCATTTATATGGCATCTAACTGAAAATAAAAGATTATAATGACCTAATTGTAATATTTAACCCAAAAAGAGACAAATTCGTTTAACAAATAATGAAAGGATAGCAAAAACATCCATTGTGAATTGACAAGATAAATAAAATGAGAAAAAAAAAAGAAGAAGAAATGAGATGAAATCTCGAATTTGAAGAACGCAATGAATGAATAAACTTTTAAAGCTTGATTAAGCTAAACACATTAAAAAAAAGTTGAAAAATAGTGAAAAAATGGATTTTAGAAAATTGATTTGTGCTCAGGGTATTTTTGAACATTTTAAACAAATATGAAAAAATGTGAAAATAAGTATTCACGGCCAAAACACTTTCTAATATTTGCCAAAACGATAAAAAAACATTTAAAAACATATTACAAACAAGTCCCTTATTTTTTGGGATTCTTTTAGTACCTTGTCGGACTACCAAAACCATATATGCCAGTGCCCGGTTTAGGAACCGTTCGATTCGGACTTGGACTAGCTGAGTTGGCAAATACTGGTGCAACAAACATGGGAGTAGGATTTGTGGAACTTGGGTCAGCCACAAACCAAATACTCCAACTAAACAAACACGCTCTAAAATATTATAGAGCTTGTTGGGGCGTTAATAGTTCTCACTTTTAATGCCGTACAATTTTCAGTTTTACATACTCGAGCAAACTAATATACCTTTGTTTCGTAATATAATATTAAGAGGAGTACGATATAATTTAAATGGGGTGTGGCATTTAATGTTTAATGTCATGTGGATGATGTTACACCCCTCCTAATAACAAAAAAATACCGCTAAAAAAATACTCTTTCTACAAAACAATGCTATATGAGTGTGCAAGATTTATTGAGCTCTATAATATCTGTACCCTAACCTAACCCATCCCCTATAATAAAAGGGAAATACTACAATAAAATTAATGATTAATATTAGAAATTAAGGTATTAATACAATAGTATCAGTTTCAATGTTAGATTGAGTACCATCTGATATTCACTATGTCGATATTCAAATATGCCAAATATGCTCTAGGTTAAATGTTTTTCAGGTAGTATTTACTCTATGGACATTTAAATATATCATAAATGGGTTAATGTAGGAACAAGATAGCCATCAACTTGATAGTATGTTTTCTTTTCATAAATTATACCGATATCACATAAATCCAAATAGCTCTAGGTTAAATCCAAATATGCTCTAGGTTAAATGTTTTTCAGGTAGTATTTACTCTACGGACATTTAAATATATCATAAATGGGTTAATGTAGGAACAAGATAGCCATCAACTTGATAGTATGTTTTCTTTTCATAAATTATACAGATATCACATAAATCCAAGTCTGTTTGGTTTGAGAAGACATCCAATTTGATATAAGAAGTTGAATTTTAAGATAATGATAACTATATTGATCTTCCCCAATGTCCTAAATAATATATGAAATTGCATTTTTTAAGAAAACTTAATTGAAAAGATAACTCTTCCCATATGTCCTAAATAACCAGTATACTATATGATGAATGAGGTGATTGATTGAATCATGTGGAGATAGACATGAATTCCACATGCATTTAATAGTGTTTAGAAGTTGGTAATGTATTTCTCCTGAGTTGTATAATATAATAAATTTAGCACCAATGTATTGGAGATATCTCCACATGAATTCCACATGCATTTAATAGTGTTTAGAAGTTGGTAATGTATTTCTCCTGAGTTGTATAATATAATAAATTTCGCACCAATGGATTGGAGATAGACAGCTAACTTGAATATTGCCGTATTTTGATATTCTTGAATTTTCTACCCAACCACAAATACCCTCTAACCAATTTCGTATTACCAATCATATCAATCTTCCCTAATGTACTAAGTAACATCATCAATCTCCGGGATGAAGAATAATCCTGTCCAATATCCTAAATAACATTATTAATATCCTTCCTAATGTACTAAATAACATTATCAATCTCCAAAAAATAATCTTGTCCAATATCCTAAATAGTCCTAAACAACACTATTAATATCCATAAAAAAATTTGTAAGGACGTATAATTAACTAAAAAGGCAAATTCTTATCTTAGTTTGGAGTAGGGGATTTATTTTGTACATAATTTATGCACTTATTTGTTTATAAAGGAAGAACTCATAGTTCAATGGTCGAGAGTCCTCAATGTGGTGATTGTGGAACCCACCAAAAGCATGACAACCAACATGAAAAACACGTTTAGGAACCAAAAAATAATATATGGGTTGGACCTAATGAGTTTTCTATGGTTAAATTTTGACAAATTGATGAAAGAAATAAAAATTAAGTTTTTTAAAGTGCAGTAGGGGCCAAATCCCCACTGACGAACCAATTTTTTTTACGTACCAAAAAAATAAGTATGGAGAAGTGTTAGATTCATTATCTAAATTAAAAGAAATAGTTTATATGAAGTTGCAACCTTAAAATGTAGAATTAACGTGCACCTAAAAATCCCATCGTAAAAGATTGTTTTGATGTTGGAAAACCCTGTAATTGATTATCTGGACATCGAGATGTATAAATACAAAAAGAATAAAATATTTCGAGTCCTAAAGATAATGTATATTGCAACATATGATCTGGATCGTCCATTTTTTAGATTTTCAAGTGTTTATAGATCTACATTTTTTGAATCTTTTTTAGAGTTAAAGATTTTATAGTTAGAAATGAAAATAGATTATCAAGCCATCTTAAAACTTTTTTATACCAAAATTATATTTATAACCTTATTCCGCTCTTAGATTTGCAAGTTGACGCTAGGGTTTGATAAGGTGAGGAGATAGATTATGTGGGGAAAACGGCTAGGGTTTGACGCTAGGGT